GGGGCGCTCTGGAGCGCGGCGATGTCAAAGGCGGCGGTGTCGGCCTCTCCCCCGCCCTCGTCGTCGTAGGTTATGATGTTCTCACGCACGTCGTCCTCCTCCAGCGGCGACAGGGAGTCTCGCTTCTGACGCCGCAGTGACAGCGAAAGACCAGTGACGGCTGCAGACGGACGGACGGGGACGGAGGACACGGAGCAGGAGGAGACACAGGAGAGAGAATGGAGAAGAAAGAGTGATGAACGGAGGGGGGGGCAGGGGGGGGGGGGGGGCAGAGAGGGAGGGGGGGCAAACACACATATCACCGGGGAAATAAAGAGAAGGAAGGAAAATGAGAAAGAGAGTGAGCAGAGGAGAAAATAAAAGAGGTGACAAACACACACACACACACACACACACACACACACACGGACAGACAAAAGGAACACAGAGGAGACCTTGGGTCAGGGGCCTCGTACATCATATCAGCAGGCTGCGTGCCTCCGATCAGTAATTGACTCTGTGCTCCAAATGGATGTTTTATTCCCCGGTGATGTTGTGTTCCCACAGCAGGGGGCGACACTTGACCCAGAGCTGTGGACGACCAGCCCGGGCAGAGGGAGGGAAATCTACCTCATTTCTGAAACGACACCGTGGTCAAATACTACAGTACCACACCGTGGTCAAATACTACAGTACCACACGGCGGTGAAGTGAATACTGTTGGGAGTTTGTTTTGATGTGACACAGAGAACTTCAATTATGGGAATTATTTACCAGCATTTGAGTCGTACATCTCAGCCAATCAGATCAGTCAAATACTACAGTATACTACAGTACCACACCGTGGTCAAATACTACAGTACCACACCGTGGTCAAATACTACAGTACCACACGGCGGTGAAGTGAATACTGTTGGGAGTTTGTTTTGATGTGACACAGAGAACTTCAATTATGGGAATTATTTACCAGCATTTGAGTCGTACATCTCAGCCAATCAGATCATTGGAAAGGGGTTAGGACTGCTGCAGCTCTCACATGAACTGGAGCAGAAAGGAAAATTTAAATATTTTCATCAAATGTTCATCAAAAAGCTTCACTGAGAGTTCTGAGTCCACGTCTGTGGTCTGGATCTTTGGACTCCAGGATGTTGTTATCATCTGTTGCCCGGTCGTTTCTTGTTTCGTCTTCTTCTTTTCTAGGACTTTTCAGGTTGAAAATCTTGTGAATTTAAGATTTAACCTTAAAAATTCATATGAAGAAACATCTGCTCCTCCTCGATGCTCCTGCATTTCGATGCATTTCCTCCTGGTTCCTGCTCCACTCCACTTCTAAAGACAATGTTTTATTCCCATTTCTTTACAAAGACTAAATCAACTTTTTAATTTCTAATGTGCCCCCCCCCACATCAGACCTGTGATGAATATTTCACCTGCACAGCTGCCTTTGTTTGTCTCCACATCTGCATGTGCTGCACACGTGCAGCTGCTCGTTCCTCCGTATGGATTTACTGTAGCTGCTTAGGCTGTAACAGCGAGTCAATCCGCCGCTTGTCGGAGGCTGCGTTATTTGATTTTCCATGGAACTAATCCAATGATCTCTGTAAGGAGGAGGAAATCTCTCATCTCTCCCAACAATCTGAAGCCTCACCTTCATGCTATAATGGGAACGTGTGTGTGTGTGTGTGTGTGTGTGTGTGTTTTATGAGGCATGAGCAGTTACCAAACGATCCAGATCCGACCTTATGTATGCAGCGGTCCTGTCTAATAACCAGATGGAGCTTCTGTGGGAACATTTGGCATTTGAAGCCGTCCACGGCCTGATGAGCTCAGGAAATAAGGAGCAAAAAAAAAAAAAAAAAACTCCACGTCATAGATTGAAAGGCGTTGAAACAGTTAAGGTGACGCGGACAAACTTTTCTGCATTTATGTGAACATCCTTCGCCCGTCCCTGACTGAGAGGACGGAATTCTGAGACAATTCTGAGACGATCACCTTCACGCCTGGTGGCGTTTTCCTTCTTGACTGAATCCGTCTCTTCGGGAATAATAAATCCCTTTGTGCTGCGAGGCAGCGATCCGACTGAAAGGACTGAACAGAAATGACAACGATGCTGGCCACGGGCCGGGGCCTCGGCGGCACCTCCACATTATCCAATTGAGTCAGTGTGAAAGGTTGCCGTCTCTCTGTATTATGCAGACATCAAAAAAAAAAAAAGAAAAACCAGAGGGCCTCCATAATTGTTCACGATTGTTATTTCAGCGGCGATTAATGCTGACCTCGCCACCGGGAGATAAAAGGAACAAAATTGAGAGTAAAAAAAAAGCTGTGACGGAGAGGAAGCGTCGACGCTGCTGCTTCTGTTATTTTCATATGTAGATTAAACCTTCAGGGATTTGCGCAGGGAATAAAATGGCCCTTAAGAATATCTACTCATCTTTTTTATTTATAGATGAGCATTAAAGTACTTTTATAGGTGGTGAATCTTAACAGCCCTGATATTCTGTTTACTATAAACAATACAAAGAGCCGCCGTAAAAACCATAATGTAAGTTGTATAAGTAAGTGCCTTCGGAGGGACAACGCTTTTTTTTTTTTCTGTGTCAAGGTACTTACCCAGCAGCGTAGCGACACACGCCAGAATGGCCAGCAGGGCGGCGGTACTGAGGCCAGGAGAAGGCAGCGTGGAGTGCTGGGGGAGACACACGGCCTCCCGTTCCCAGTCCCACTCCCCGTCTATCTGCTTGTTCTTCTCCTTCTCCCCGGCCCGCGCTCCTCCTCTCAGGCAGGGACAGACGGACACGGTGACCGTCCCGGTGCTGGTGAGTCCTGAAGTACCGTCCCTCAACACCAGGGGCACAAAGAGGGTGAGAGTGGATGAGGAGGAGCGGGACAGCGGCTGGAGCTGGGAGAGGAGAACCAGGCTGGCCGTGGTTCCTGGAGGAAGAAGGAAAGATCAATGAACAGATCATCTGCAAAACGGTGGAGAAATTCATTACCAGCCAACAGGTGTCGCTCTAGAAGAGGTCACACTTTGTTGTCTGCCTAAAGGGGCTGCACAGTGGGTTAGTGGTTAGCCTTGTTGCTTCACAGCTACAAGGTCACTGACGTGCACCGTGGTCCAGGACAGATGGCTCCTCTGTGTGTGTGTATGTGTGTGTGTGTGTGTGTGTCTCTTCTCACCGTTTAAAACCACAATAATCTAATTTAACCCTGTGACGGACCAGAGACTCTGTCAGCCTGGACAGACTCCAGCGCCCCCCTGTGGATTTTAACAGGATGAACAATAAGATATGAAGACGTCTGTCTGTCTTATTGAAAATTAAACTAAAATTAGGATAAAAAAAAAACCCAGATCCTTGTTTTCCCTCTCAGTAGGCTGCCTGGAGAACTCATCCTACAGTGACCGTAACCTAAAAACTACGATGTATTTTTACAGACAAAACTGCATTACTGCTGCAAAACGTTTCATACATACAGTAGATGAACTGTACTTCATCGTTCTCTTTTTTTTTACTTGGAGTCTATTTCAAAAACTTTCAACGCCTCTGATGCTAAACTGTCTTCCTCCGACCGTACGGTTGATTCTAATTTGAGAAAATAGGACGGATCTCCAGCAGAACGTCCCAATCAGGCCACGGAGTTTCTCCGTCTTCACCGTAACCGCCTTGATTTATGAGTCCCAATTGGCTGGAAGACGTAAAAGAAAACACATTTAAAGCTAACGTCCAAAATACGAGTGCGTTAATAAAGCGCCACCTGGAGAAATCCATTGTCACAAACGTATTCGTATTCGCGAGACTCACAAATAAAGAAATGAGAGCGAAAGAACGAGGGCAGAGAAAAACTACGTCTGTCGATCTGACTGGTCTTAATCTGAGTTGAAATAATCGTGTCCGTGGTTTGGATTTTCATCAGACTAAGAACAGAGATGGACATTTGGAAAATAGTAAAGAAGTTTAAAAGGTAAAGTTGTGAGGTAAGAAATTAAAGTTCCTTTTCTGCTCTATACGATGCTAACCATGTCTTTTTGTGCTAATAATTAGGACTCATTTAAAATGTAAAATATTGTTATAATATTTATGACAACATTTAAGTTTTTCTGGGCTGTTTAACAATATCTACTGACTGAATTTCAGCTAACCTTAAATGGTTTTGGCTAACTTGAAGCACGTCTTCTGTCGTCACCTGCTGCTGCTCCTGACTGACTGAGCTCGCTGTTAGTCTCCATTTTGTTTGGCTAACATTTGGGCATTTTAGATTAAATTTGTAATGCATTGTTTAAATTATCAAAGCAAATTCCTATAATTAGTCCACACAGATCAGAGCATCGTCGGCGTACAGCTGGTGTCGGTTCGCGCTCCTCTGTTCTGTTCAGTTTTGGACGACACATCAAACAGGCCTTTGATTCGACTCGTCGCGGTGTTTATTTCTGCAAACTTGGATCCAAACGCGGCAGATTTGCCCTTTATGGTTTTTGCCAAGTTTTCAAACAATTAATAATCTGTTTGCCAGCACGGAGCCGGGGGCAGACAGCTGCTGCAGACGACAGGAAATAAATGAGGCTTTTGATTTGAAATATTTAGAGTGAAGAGTTTCTGGTGACCAGTTAATTATTCCTGAGATTTAATAATTCAGTCAAAAATGTTACTACAGACTGGAAAACTAACCATTTCACAGGACGCTTGGATTATTTATAATCTCTGATTCTCACTTGAGTTAAAGAGTTCCATTTAACACAGCACCAGTTCTTACTGGTTCTTACTGGTTCTTACTGGTTTGGACTTGAACTGGTTAAAGCCACTGTTGCTGCTCAGTCCAGACCCAGTGGCAGATGGGTAAACCAACAGAGAAAAGAGCAGCACTTAACCATCTGAAGACACAAATGTTTCTCTGGGAAATCAGATGAGACTTGACAGACGCGGTGACACAGAGTGGCCAGTAGAGGGCTCTTTAGGGAACTGGTCCAGGAAGGTCCCAGATCCAGGGCAAAGAAAAGAGTTTGGTCTGAACAGAAGCAGCCGTTGATGAACGTGAAACACTGAGAGGTCAGAGTTCATGACACCTGTGCACTGAGGTGTTCAGTTCTGTCATCACAGGGTCGTCTATGATGTCACGGCTGGGAAAACCAGACAAAACCACCGCTCCTCTTCCTCTTAAAGTTAGAGATTTGCAAAATGATTCATCTTTTATTCAACGCAAACACACACACACAGACACACACACACTGTGTTTTCTGTTTCTGTTTACAACAAAACCTCAGAGGTCATTTGTTGCTGTGGACCAATTATCTTTTGTTTTTGAGCAGAAAAACAAGAGTTAAAATAAAACAAAAATCCCATTTACACATTTATGAATTTGATCTGACACCGGGCGGCGGAACAGAAGAAGAGTTTATAAAATAAACTGAGTTTGGTCTGATTATTTTAGGCTTCTGTTTCTTTTGTTTCTTCTTAATAAAAAAAGTTGAATTGATTTTAAACCTATATTATTATATAGTTTTTTGGTTTTTTTTGACCAGACCAGAGACTAAATATTCACAGCCACAGGGCGTTCGGTGGAAAAGTTCTTCTCAGAACTGTTAGAATCACAGCTTGTGCTGTTTTTGCTGGAGTTCAAAATAAAAATAGTTCCATAAAACCGCGCTACTGGACGGGTGTTGTTCACACTGTCTCACAAATTGACAAAAAATGAGACAAAAAAGGTCAGGAACCACTGATTTATCCCCGTGTACTGATCCACTCACCAAACATGAACCAAACACACAGACATGGATCCTGGTGTTGTTGATACCACTGTGGATATTGAACTCCACTTGCACTGGTCGTGTGCAACCAGAGCCAAGAATGTACGAGAAAGAAATACTGAGCAGCAAAATCCAATTCCGTGGACGTGAATCAAAAGACGAAGATTTCTTCGAAAGGCTGCGAAAATGGAGACGGAGACGAATGTGGAGGATACAGGAGGACAAACGGGAGGGATGAACGAGGGAGAGGAGGAAAACAAAGGGAGGCGATGGGACCAACGGAGTCGGAGATGGATGGTGGGAAGGAAAAGCACCGACAGAAATGAAGGCAGTGGGAGGTAAAGGGTGAGAGACAGAGGGAGGAGGAGGAGAGGTGAAAATGGGAAAAAGAAAAAGCTGCAGAGAAATTCTAGGATTAAGAGATTTAAAAAAGTAGGTGGTGGTGGGAAAAAAAACAACAACCAGCAGCCCGCCTGCCTCTGCCAAGGCCACAAATAAAGAAAGGAAGGAGGGAATTAAGAGAAATATAGAGAGAGTGGAAGATTGAGAGCGTACCGCCGCTGTCCCTGACGCTGAAGTTGAGAGCGGCGCTGGACTCTGGGGGGATGCTGAAATACACCGTGCTGTCATTTCCTCCCTCATCTCTATCAATCGCCCGCAACACCTGCACCACCTGAAACAAAAAGATAGAAAAAGAGAGGATGAGGTGAGGGGGAGGAGGACGGGTGGGAGGGAAGGGGAGACAGGAGGAAGGGGGACAGGGGGAGGGGGACACAGAAGACAAAAGAAAAAGAAGGTACGATTGGGGACAACAACCTGCACAAAAAGTGTTTTCACAAACCAACCATTAGCTAACACCAGCAGCACCACAACGACACAGACAATTAGAGGGAGAGGTGGGAGTCAGAGAGTCACCCCCGATAAATTACTGTCAGGGGGACGATTGGGGACCGGGGGGGGGCAGCGAGGCTTTGAGTTCAGTAAAAGCCTCTGCGTACGGCTGAAGTTCTCCCACCGTCTGAGGTGATTACAGAGAGGACCTTCAGGTCGGTCAGTGATTCAAGGCCTTGAAAAGTCTGGAGACGATCTGAGGAAATGAGTAGTTTGACAGATTAATGAAGTCTTTTTTTAAAAAACAGAAAAAGACGTCAGAGAGGGATGATCTCTGTCCTCTGTCTTTGTCCTTTGAACTTGAACCATTTTGACAGAGTTAAAGTCTGAAAACTTCAACTCTCAGCAGGTCTGGGAATCAGGAGCAAAGACAACAGAAAGACAAGGACTGTAAGGCATCAGCAGCATCCTCTCTGCCACTGCGTTGCCCAGTTCATTAATGACTATGATGTGATGATAATTAGTCAGTGATGTCACGTGACCCTGTCGTCCAATCCTGTCTTTCTCAGCCTTTTAAACAGGCTTCAGTTTTTTTTTTTTTTTTTTTTGTTCCTGTTTCAGAAATCGTACCAAGTTTTTTTGGAGTCGCTCCACGTTTGTAATTCATCGACACGTTCTGTCACGATGTGGACTCTGAGTCTGGGCGTCTGAGGCGTTTTGTCTAACGACTTGTCATCCTCAGCATCACATGGTATCATCTGTCTTCCTCACACGGACTCACGCTCATCAACACAAACATTACAGGCTGGAAACACACACACACACACACACACACTCCAGCACAAAACAACAGATGGACCAAGGCACCAAATGATGCTGATTGAGGCAGTGTGGGACGGTGAAATGGGCTGGAGGAGGAGAGAGGGTTTCCAGGAGGAAATGATTTCTATAACTGAGATATGATCGAGTGAAATCACCGTGATGAACACAAATAAAGCTCTGAGGACAGTGGTGGAGGGGGGCAGTGGGGGGGAGGGGGGTGTGAGAGGAGGCTGGAGTTTAATTACAGACTGAATGGCTGCCGTGTTGTGATAACAGGCCATTGAGGATTCACCTGCTTCCATTGTGAACGGTGGAACTGTGGCTGTGGTGTTGAACACCGAACGCTTCTGAACCAGAACGGTAAACACACACACACACACACACACGGAGGTGCTCCACGCACAGACATGACCCGCCCTGCCCTAATCTGCACGGGATTGGTCAGGAGCTAAACTGCCAATCCAGAGGCAGAGAATGGTAGTGATGCCTTCACTGTCCTAGGAAAAAATAGTGTTGTTCTTTTAGGGTTAACCTTAAGTAATAATTAGATTTTTCCTTCGTCATAGCTTTTGACTTTTATCTTTATTTTATTTTTACAGTTTCTTCGTTAACCTTTAGCTTTAACTGCGATCTTACCTATTTGTTATGGTGATTTTGTTTGGTTGAACTGTTTTTTTTTTTTACTGACTCATCGTTCACTTTCCAATATTCATGAACATCTGAAATGTCTCACACATGTTACATTAGCTTAGCCTGCTTTGGTATTTGCTAAATATTAGCATTAGCATTCCCATTAACATTAGCTGTTGCTAACAGAAACTAATATCACACCAGTCAGTTCTTGGTGATTTTAGAGACGAGTCGTGACGGCGGTTCACAGAACCACAGACGAAGGTTCACTTTTGTTGTTGAAAAAAGAAGTAAATGTTTGTCCTCGTCATAAAAGAAGATGCTGCTGGAGGATGATATTGATTTTGATTTCACACTGGTGAATCCTGGGTAATTCTGGAGTCGGATCAGGTCGGTCAGTGGCGCAAAACCATGTCCAGAGCATCAAAGGACCTGACGTCTGTTCCGTTTGTGCTCTGTATATTTGGTTGGGTGTTTTTTTTATTTTCATCATCTTCATCGATTTTCTTACTGTTTTCTTCAGTGTTGTTAGTCTCCACGCTGACTCCTCTCTCCTGACTCCTCATATTAAACCGCCCCCCCCCACACACACACACACTGACCTGGCCCATGGTGGAGGAGTCACATATGGCCGTGCTGTACTGTCTGTCCAGCTCGGGCGCGTTGTCGTTGAGGTCCAGTGTCTCTATGGCGACCACGACTCTGGACACCTGGCTGGGATTGTCTGTGGAGATGAAGACGAAGAAAGAACGATCACAGGAAGTGGTTTCTCGGAGCAGGAATCCTGTTAGCTGAGTGGAATTATTTTTAATTAAATTGATTTTTTTTATTTTTTTTACAACAAAACCCTAATCAACAACCCACTCCATTTTCCACCTGAAAGCCACCGCCACCACCACCGCCGCCTCATCAGAACACATTAGTTCATAATGAACCCAATTTATTCATTGGATTTATTTATAAGTACCGTTAAAGACAAACAGTGCTGCAGTTACTGAAAAGTACCAGAACAACACACTCATAAAAGACAGATTTAAAGTCAGGACCAGATAAACAGTATTTGTTACACAATGGTGTCCTCTGAAGTACTGCAATACCTCAAACACACACACACACACACACACACACCGCGGTGGAAGTTTACGCTCCATTAGTTCCATTAAATAGTCCTCTCAGGTGAGATAAGGCGGTCGACAGCTTCCAGATGATATCACTGGGCTCAGATTTACACACACACACCTTTGATTTCATTTGACCCGGGTTTTGTCTTGCAGGCTCCCAGGTGGAGCACAACTGAGGTTTCCACTGCAGTCAAATAAAAAAAAAAGAAGTTTTCCATCTCAATATTTTCATTTCTTTTCGTAGCCCAGGAGGAGTGATCCTGAGAGCAGCTGAAGAGGAACCACAGCAGGTCTTTGAAACGCCAATCACTTCAACACACAGGTGTGTGTGCGTGTGTGTATGGTGATCCAACCTTGGTTTGTCTTTGTTAGCCTCAAAAATGATAACAAAAGCTCAAGTGTAATTGTAAAAAAAAAATGGCTTCAATAAAATAGAAGTGGAGCCTTTAGAAAAATGAAGCGTCCGTCGTCCTGACGTTCTCTCCGTGGTCTTATTGATAACCTGGTGGGTTTTTAATCACAGAACTAATGTTTTTGTTACTGTTTTGGCTAAAAAAAAGCCTCCATTTAGAGGATTTACAACCAGGAACCGTCAAATAATTGACAGATGAACTGAAAAGCCAACATTTCTTGGATCTTGTGTCAGAATCGTGATGTTGTTTCCAACAGAAGCTGAAGTAACTGCTGTCAATCACAGCAGGCGCTGGCGGCCAAGTTTCCTCCTGAAGTCCGTTTGGGGAAAACTGGCTTTGCCAAAGAATAAAAAAAACCAAAAAAAAAAACCCAATATTTTAAATATTTAAACCTGCATTCAAATCACTACGGGGAGATCTGTGAGATCACTCTCTGAGTTTAATTTGTGTTCAGACGAAGGAGGCATCTCCACAGGTCACTGGTTCGAAAACGAAAAGCTCTGATTGGATGAAAGGACACGTCTGGACTGGAACCAAGTGAGAAAACCAAGATTTAAGATCAGCTTTCCTTCAGCAAAGACTGAAGAACTCTCCAGAAGACTGTGTGTGTAAATTACTGGAGTGTCAGAGTCTTTTAGGTCGAACCAGAGGAGCAAAAAAAAAACTGCACCGTTCACACACTTTAACATGAAGTTCTCTCAGTTAGGTTTAAAAAAACATGTCACCTGAGCTGAACTTTCACAGGAACATGGAGGCTGCTCATGTAAAGGACATGTCCACTCTGTCAACCGAGCTGACACACACACACACACTGACACACACACACACACTCCCACGCCGTCAGCACAAACCTCCAACAGTAAGTGAGTCAGGGATGACAGCCTCTCGCTCCCGTGGCTGAAAAGTCGAAAATGAGCTCCGGCTGTGAAGCCACCGGCGGAGCTGCTGCGCCCGCGGCCAGGCTGCAGCTCCGGCTGAGCTCCGTGTCAACAGACACAGACAGAGGCTTTATTAGACACAGCTCATTATGGACGACAGGCATCTCACCCTGCTCTGCCTCCACTGTCCTCCAAACCCCTCCTAAGTAAAGATTAACTCTGTCCAGACTGCGGCGGGCGGAGTGGACAGCTCCTCCACCTCCTCCACCTCCTCCACCTCTCTCAGCCGTCAGTGGACGGCAGCTCTCCTCAGCCGTTCTCTGCCGTCTGCAGCCGTCAGGGTGATTGATTTTCAGGAGGTTAAAGAGAACAACCGGGCGGTTTGTCACCTGCCAAAACAGCAGGCAGGATCTGTCAGCCGCCCGAAAGAAAGAACACAGGACTGTAAAGATGAGTCATGTGGAGGTGTGCTCTGATTGGTCCAACCGCTGTGCAGTTAATGCTTTAGTGCAAAGTGCTAAAACGGAGAATTCACAGTTTGGTTTTTGGAGGAAGAAGACGTCAGAGTCGGTGAGGACTTGTTGACTTGGTCAGAGTGGCCACAGTCATGGTTTCAGCTGAACACAGACGCTGGTTTGAACAGCTGTCAGCCGGTGAGTGAGGAGAGCAGAGGTCAGAGGTCAGGAGGGGGAAAGGTGAAAGGTCAATATCTTTCCTGTCAACAAATCTAAGGATGACAAACAACCCTGTCATAGATCTAGACAACACGACAGAAACATTCACTGTTTGCAGGTTCTGAATCCAGTTCAAAGCAGCATCGCCCCCTACTGGAGATACTTCTCATACTAGTGGAACATTGAAAGTCCACTTTACATCACTACAGTTGGGGGGAGGGCGGGGGGGCAGAGGGGGTCTGTTTCTTATCCACATGAATCACAGCTCATCACGTCTTTTCTCTAAAGCTACAAAGATAAAGAGTTCAAAGGACAGAGTTCAAAGGACAACAAAGCCTCTCTCTACAGCAGTTCTCATGAAACATAATGTGGACCAAATCATTTTCATCTTAGTTTTCTGTAAAGTTAACCTTCATTTTACAACTTATTAAGGAGTTCCACAGTCTCCTCCGTCCTTCCCTCTTCAGTCACCCGTAGAGTCTCCCCCTGTCCTGTCCTGTCTGTCCTCTCAGGCTGTCCTCAGCCGTCCTCATCATTATTTCAGCTGCAGATCTGGACGTTCCACCCAGTAGCAGCTGCCAGGAGAACCAGCTGCCAGTTCCTCACACGCTGAAGGAAAGCCATCATTTATATTCCAGCACCTGAACAAGTCCCTCAAGGAAACACTCCCTGATATCAATCACCTACTGCTGGTAAATGACGGTACTACATCTGAGGTTATTCTACCAGGAGACAGATTAGTTTATAATTGCTGTTTTTTTTTATTTTTATTCTATTCTCACTCTGGTTCCAACACCAGCAGAGTCAATACCAGGAGACAAGTAAAGATTCTTGTTTCTTCGTACAACGTGTCCTCCTGCTGCTGCTGGACCACTTCCTGTTAAAGAACCCACTCCACCCCACGTCTACACTGACACCACACTCCACTAACACGCTCTGGTTCACATCACCCCTGGGACCAGGACCCCTGGGACCAGGACCCCTGGGACCAGGAGCCCTGGGACCAGGGTCCCTGGGTTTGGTCTGACAGGACTAAACGAGGTCAGAGTGAAGCTATCCTCAGAGACATGGAGAACATTCCAAACGTTCCTGCCTCACGGCACGTTTGGAATCCGACTTAAAGGTGATCAAAATGGCCGACCTCACCTCTGTTACCAGTATGTTCTTCGTTCTAACCTCCTCCACACACACATCTGGACCGGGTTCTCCCAACCTCCTCTGATATTCAAAAAGGTTTGGTTGGGGAACTGGGGTTAATTGGCTGTGTCCAAGGTCTGGCCCGGGGGCCGATTGTAGCCCCCATTAGGTTTATAATTCTATTTAAGGCCTTTAAGGTTTGAGGTCCAGGTTTTAATTTGTCTCCTGAGACTCGGAGCAGCCGCTGAGTCGGTCCCTGTTTTTAGAAATGATTCTGTAAAAAGAACAGTGGAGGAAAAGTGGATCTTTAATCTGCTCTAACGTCGCTTCTCAGGGTGGTTGAAAATAGCTCTGAGAATTTTTAACTTTTTACAACGTAATCTGGTTTTAAAAAAACATCATGTCTGACCGACTTAGAGTATTAGGTTTTTTTTTCTCCTCACGATAAAAGACAGACTAATAATTGTTATTCCAGAAATAATGATGGTTTATTTCTGAGATAACAAACATTAGTCTGTCTTTGTCGTACTGACGTTGGCTCAGAGCAGATTATTATCAGTTACTGATATCAGTTCACTGTTCCTTTCCTTCAGGTAGAACCCTGCCGGCTGCAGCTGTAGACTCAGACACACACTACAAACAGCTGCTGCGTTACTTTTGAAATAAACTCCCATAATTCACGTCCTAATGGCTGATTATTCTTTTTAACGTCCCCGGTGCCGGTGGCGGTCCCACAGCTTCAAAGGCCTTGTAGCGTTTGAATAAACCAAACGCCGGAGTCACTCTGCTGCACAGAGAGAGTGGTCAACACCAAAGGTTTGGATGGGCTCAAAGACGGGAACTAAATAAAGATCCACTCTGGAGCGAGGAGGTGAAAACGTTCCCAAACAGACGCTAAATGGACCGGAGAACGGCCCGTCAGCAGAACCTGACTTCCTGCTGCCATTTGTGACTGAAATATCACCTCCGGTGTGTCGGGGTTTGCTCCGACTCGGATGTTTACCGCTCTGCCCCTTTTTTTGCAATTACTCGGCAGCGTGTATGGTGGCGCTTGTCCTTGATTTGTTGCTTTAATTCCTGGTTTCCACTCCGGTCCTCGTGAGCAGGAATCCATCGCCGCATCAGATAACTCACGCTACACGAGATCCATTGATCGTCGGGAAGAGCCGTAACAAAGTATTTACGGCAGCAGACGGCGCTGCTCTCACGGCCTGATGACTGGAGACAGTTTAGAGGCCGAGTAAAGTGTCAGAGTCAAGGGTGGAGTTTAAACTCCCTAAAAGGTGGACGCGGTGACTGCAGTGAAGGAACATTCACCCCAGGAGCAGCTGTGACTTTGGGAATAAACCCAAGTGGCAGAACGATGTACTGCAATTTTTAAAAATGTATTTTTTATAATAATAATTTGATTTGAAGACATGTTGATGTAAAAATGATCTAAAGGGTCACGTGGTTTCTAACCGAGGCCAGTGATTGGCTCCTGGCCCGTCGTCTTATTCAGCAGTGAAACAGAACACTGACCTCTCTGTGTTGCTATGACGGTGATGTTGTGCCAGTGCTCCCGCTCTCGGTCCAGTTCCATGGCGGTGGTGATGAGGCCCGTGTCTGGCGTGATGCGGAACAGAGCCTCCGGGTCGGACTGAGGATCGATGGAGAACCTGCAGCGGAGGGAAACGGCGAGAACATAAATAAGTGGTGAGGAGGACGATAAACAAACAGCCGGTGAAGGTATTTTTAAAATGAGGGAGTTGGGGGGAGGAGGGGGCGGCGGGGACGGGGGAGGAGGCGAGGGAGGAAAAAGCACAGGTTGCAAATGTGTGAGGCAGCGATAAGGAATTTATCATTTAAATGGAGAAAAATGAGCGTAAACAGGGAGATGATCAGGGCTGATAACTGCTCCACTGAAGCCACGCTGATTATTTCAACATCTCTGATAATATTCTGGCTATGATACCACACACACACACACACACACACATGCTTTTAGCGGTGGTTTTTAAGCACCGCTAAGTGGGGCAGGATTTCCTGTGATTATTACAGAGAAATAATTAGCCTCCGCGGTTGAACTATGTGGGACAGAACGTTCTGTAAACACAGGAGGAAGCTGGAAAACACACCAACGTGTGTGTGCATGTGTGCATATGTGTGTGTGTGTGTGTGTGCATGTGTGCATATGTGTGTGTGTGTGTGTGTCAGCAGCCTGCACTCGGGGGAGCAGCGAGTGGGCATTTTGTTAGTTTCTATTTATGGAGTTTGCTCCGGTCACGTTGGGTCAGAGGTTTCAGTGTCGTCCTCAAACATGAATGATTAAATATGGAAAAAATCAGATCAAACCAAAACAAATCCATAAGTGAAGCCTTTTGTCATAAAGGATAAGAAACAGAGGGAAAAAAGTGTTTCTCTCAGGAGGAGGGAATGATCATCGTTAATGAAGCAGTGATGTTACTGCACGGTTTTAATTAAAAATAAAATGTGGGGGGGGGGGGGGGTGACCTCGTCTCAACAGCGTGTTGTCCCTCAGACAACAATAATAAACATTCCACTTCATGTGTGATCATAATTTTCCTATAGCCTGAGTGAACACATCAGCCTTAGTAACTAAAGCTATGTCTATGATGACAAGGCGGGCTGGAACCGGGCCGCGGGCCTTGTGTTTGACACACATCACATAAGACGTTCAATAGGTGACATTTCCACAGAGCTGTGTCTGACAGTGCTGTCGGTCACGTGACCCGTACCTGATGTTATTGGTCAGACCAGTGTCGGGGTCCACGGCGCTGATCCGACCCACTGTGCAGGCGGGGGGGCAGTTCTCCGACACGTCCATGTGATATCTGGACCTGGAGAACCTGGGCGGCTCGTCCGCGTCCAGCACCGCCACCCTGATGGAGGCGCGGTCCTTGAAGGGGCCTCGACGCAGGAACCGTGGGTCAACTATGGGGTTGAGGACCTCCACGGAGAAGGCGTAGGAGCTGCGGCTCTCGTAGTCCACGGGCTGAGGAGGAAAACAGAAAGACTGTTAACGTATCAGCATTAAGATTTATCATTTAGACTTGAAATCAGCAGCGACTGTGAAATAATCCATAATGATGCGTGTTATTAGCAGGAAATTGTTCTAACGTCACAGCTATGAATATCAAATCCAATTATGCGGCGTGTTTTCGCCTTTCATTTCCTGATTTCCACAGATAATGGCTCCACAGATGACTGCTAAATTACATATCAAAAGCCCAGAGATGGAAAATGATGAATTATTGCAGAGAAAACAGAGGAGAAGGAAAACACTCACATCTAAATAAAAAAAAAAAAGAACCAGTGAAAGAAGGGAAATAAATAATAACCAAGGATGCCTCACGTGACGTGAACTTCTGACAGATTTTTTTTTTCTTTTTTTTTTACAGTGACACTTTGAAAGCGGTGCTGGATTGAGATGAGGATGCTGAGGCTTTGTGTGTGAAGAGCGGGCGGCGTTCATGAGGTGTGTGGATGTAACAGCATCGTCGAGGAGATTCCTGACGCTCAAAGAGTTGAAAGGCTCCCAGAGAGCTCCCACACTGGGAGAGGCTGACGTCGAGGCCCCGGACTGACGTGGTTACAGCTGATGTCAGATATATAGCTGTCAGTACAGCGTCTGTACCTGCAGCACAGACAGTTAGCAGGTGGCAATCAAGCTAGCTGAACACTGAACGCAGGGTTAGCATCAGTGTTGTCGACAGACATGAGGGTGTGTTTAAGACACAGGCGTCAGCCTCTCCCTTTATTACATGAGCACACAGTAGTAATCTAACCCACAACCTGCTGGTTTCACCCACACGGAAAATTCATTCAGCGCAAAAAAAGATGAAAATCACAAATTAATAAATGAAAAAAAACAACCTAAAGAATAGTGTTTACACAGGTCATGCCGACATTTATTTGTTAAATCCAAGGAGGAAGAGTGAAGAGTGAGCGGCTGAGGCAGAGACTGCAGTGGTTCCATAGATCTGTGGTCATAGATCAGCTCTGCTCTCTACCTGCAGCACAGATGGCTGCCAGCAGGTGGTGTTCCAGCTAACTGAGCACTGAACACTTTAAACACCTTCAGCACTGGAGGTGGAGGTGTGTGTGTGTGTGTGTGTCTGTCTGGGTTATGCAACTCTAGGTCAGCCCCCCCCGACCTCCCCATAAATGGGTTGGTTCCCCTGCAGGGAGTCCTGGTGTTTTGAAAGGAGGAGAGAAAAGTGAATTTCTGGGACTGTAACTACAGAGCAGGGACGTGACACCGGGGTGACTTCAAGCCAGGAATCATCTGAACCTGCGTTTGATGTGTCAGCCTCAGTGAGGTGACGACAGAACCTGGCAAAACCTCCGATTTAGAAATTCAATACAGTGGCCGAGGTTCTGAATCTGGACCACGAAACGTTTCCTGAGGCCACGTTCTGATGGAGGAAACGAAACAAGGACTTCTTCTGGGTCGGTTTTCACTGTTAATTTGTGTTATATTTTTTAAATATTATAATCAGGGATTTAAAGTCCAGATGTTTCTGCTCAAGTTTGTCTCAAAATCAACTAAAACTCAAATAACCCCCCGAACAATATCTGCTCATATTTCAACGATGAAAACAATCTCCATGGCAACGCCTCCATCACCACACAGATTGATTCATATGTTGGTATGAGGAGCGTGACGTTTCCTCTGTGTCTCCGTCCACATCTCCACAGGTGGAGCAGGTCTCGTCTGGGACGGAGGCCCAGGTCCTGCAGTGATTTCCTGAGCCTCGTACCAGTGGACCGTCGCTGAGGCGATCAGCCTCTCTGATCGTGTTTGCCAAAATGACTGTGAGAGAGGGCAGAGGCACACAGGTAATCACACACACACACACAC